GGGGGCAGCCATACCTTACATCGTATCTAGTGCCTTCCGTAAGCTGTTAAGGCAACACAAGGCAGGGTGGGAAAATAGGATTAGCTTCCTGAGCTACGACCTTGTATCCAATGCAGTATCTCCACTAAGCTGCTAAACCTAGGGCTGTACTATACACACAAAAAAAATTCCTTTTGCCCTGTGGGTTGTTAGATCTCCTATCCCAGCTTTCCCCGCTTCGTGTGGCGGATATTACTAAAGGATATTTCACCAGAAAAATAAACCAGTGCATAATCTGGAAGAGATATTACTTTAAAAAAATACCTACTTCATTGCAATGTTCTGAAACGTACAGAAATCCATATACGGTCAAAGTTTTTTTAGAAAGAGGCCAGACACAGGACAAGAACTGTACAAACGTTACTTGCTACTGTCGGTGGTAGCGGTAATAGTACCAGGACGTGGGTCTTTGATTCCAGATCAGTTCCTGGGACTTGGGAGCCCCCACAACCTAATTTGGGGATCCTCAAGAAGTCTCAAGCACAGAGGCTTTGCATAAGCGCCACAGTTCTCGGAGCGCGACTTTCGATCTCTACAAGGGAGAATGCGAGGCTACGAAGACGGAAAAAAAGTAAGGAAAGTTCTAGTTAATGAACACATGAAGGCGCCGCTCTGAGGACCGAACAGGAGCCGGGGGTGGCGGGCCCGGGGCAGGGGAGCCGGGCCTGGGTTCGGGGGGGAATCGGGCCGGGGTCGGGAGGGTTCGGAGCCGCTCGGGCCGGGAGAAGGAAGAGCCGCCGCGGTCCGAACCCAACTTACCCCTTGCCGCCCGCGCCGCCCGGCTTCGGCCGCTTTTTGCGCCGCTTGCGACTGGACTCGGAGCCTCCATCGACGCCGACTTCTGCCCCCGACAAGTAACGCTTCAAATACTCAGCCTTGGAGAGCGGCAGAGCTGCCGCCATGGCAGCGGCGAGGGCGGGGCGACGGCTCGGCACTGGGGACAAAATTCTTAAACGCGAAATGGACTGGGGCGGGACCAAAAGAGGAAGTGGTAAGAATGGGATGCTTGGCCCCGCAGAGCCAATGGGTGAAAGGATCTAACAGCATTCCTGGGAGGGCGAATCCGTCCCATATCCCGCAACCAGCGCTTTCCCAGCTGAAACTCACAGGCCAGCTCAATAAGATCCCGCCCCCTGCGGCTTCAGAGTGCCCAACACTCCGGAGCTCAGAGCACCTGCTAGAATACAGCCCATAACCTCCTAGCTGAAGCGCCGGGTAAAGTTATTGAGTAAAGTGGGGATAATGGTCGCATATTGAGGTAATGGTGCTGTGCCAAGTGCTTGGAATAGTGTCCCGCACAATTTTCTGTATATTTTGGTTATTTTTATTGGTATCGATTAGGCTTGCCGGTACCATTCACTGGAGTAAGTCAGAAACTCCAAACCCAATATAATGGCTATGAAAAATGGACAGGTTTTGCGCCAGCGAAATGAGTAAGTGGGTAAAGGCACCTACCACCAAGTCCAGCATCGTTATGTTCAATCCCTGTGACCCATATAGTGGAAGGAGAGAACTCATTTCAAGTTGTTCTCTGACCCAACACAATACCTTTTATCAAAACTGTGTGGTCCTTCCCACGTATAGTATTACTGGTAGACAACCCATAGTTATCTCTTGAAAGAAATTGTGTGACTCCAGGCTCAGCGACATGGCTTAACTCACCAAGGTCGGGATGGTGGTTAAGCATGGGGCCTCCCTCAGGAAAATGGTGAAGAAGACTGAAATCAGCCAGCAGCCAAGTATATTTGCTCCTTCTGTGGCAAGATCAAGATGAAGGGACGGGGCTGTTGGCATCTGGCACTGTGGTTCCTGCATGAAAAGAGTGGCTGGTGAAGCCTGGACTTACACCACCACTTCTGTTGTCACGGTCAAGTCTGCCATCAGAAGACTGAGGAACTGAAAGACCAGTAGAAGCACTGCCGTCTGGGATATCCCTAGCCGAGAAATAAATGCGTTAATTTGTGTGACAAAAAAAAAGAGGTCTGGCATAGCAAAAGGAGAGAGCTAGGAAGATTCAGCTCTAAAGACTTTCTTCTTTAGAGGATTGTTATTTGAATTCTCTTATTTAACCCTTAAAATTCTGTTTTTGTTTTTTTTCCCTCCAGAACTGGGAATTAAACCCAAGGCCTTACAAATGCTAGGCAAGCAGTCTACTGTAGAACTAGCCACAGTCCTTTAAAATTTTTTTTTTAGCCAGGCATGGTGGGGCAGGCCTTTAATCCCAGCACTCAGGAGGCAGAGGAAGGCAGATCTCTGAGTTCGAGGCCAGCCTGGTCTATATAGCAAGTTCCCAGGCCAGCTGGGCCTACAGGGAGACCTTGTCTCAGTAAGATTAAAAAAAAAAATTATTTTATGTGTATGAGTGTCGTGTAATGCCTGCAGAGGCCCAAGAAGAGGGCATCAAAACCCTGGAACTGGAGGTGACTGTTGTTAGTGCTGGGAATCAAACCCATGTGGGTGCTGGGAATCAAACCCAGGTCCTCTGCCAAAAGCAGCCAGTGCTCTTAACTGCTGAGACATATTTCTACCTGCCCCCCAAGTCCCCAGCCCTTTTTAATAGTTGGAGACACAGTCTTGCTAAGTTGCTCAGGCTGGCCTTGAACTTGGTAACCCTCCTACCTCAGCCTGGCAATTAGCTGGGATTACAGATCTGTACAACCATGGCCTAGCCTTTAGTTTTATTAGCTTTACTTTACAGATGAAAAGCTTAGAGATATAGAAAACCACTCAGCTACACACTGCCAGAATATGCTTATTGTGAACAGAGGGCAGCGAAGTAGAGTGCAAGAGGTAATCCAGGTTTGTCTCTTTCTTTTGGTTCAGACAGGGTATCCCTATAGCCCAAGCTGGCCTGGAACTCGCTATGTAGACCAGGATGGCCTCAATGTCAGATTCGCCTGCCTCTACCTCCCAAGTGTGGAACCATGCCCAGCAATAATCTTTGCTTGCCCTCACTTACAAAACCATATCAAAGACCTTGCCTTGCCGCCCTCCATTACACTATTCGCCGATATGCTCTTCAGTTGTTATTGTCAGTTCTGTGGAAGCAGGTGGATTCTAGGCACTGTTCTGTGTGCCTAGCTCGGAGTAGACAAGCATGCATCTGAAGGAATGGATGAAATGCCAGCTTTGATTACCCAGTGACAATGACCACCTGAAGATTGGATTAGGAAACTAAATTCTCTTCCCCCCGCCCATCTTTTTTTTTCTTTTTTTCTTTTTTCTGGAGTCAAGAGTTTCACTACATGGCCCAAGATGGCCCTAGCCTCCTGACTGCTGGGACCAGAGGTGTGCCACACCATGCCTAGCTCATGCAGCTGGGTTCTGACAGCATGATATGCAACAAGGAGAGTACAGAGGCCAGTGTTGTTTAAAAGCCATCACTTTAATGAGAACTTCTTCACCTATCCCCCCTCTGAAGTTTTTTTCTGCTGAACATTAGTACTTCATATACCCAGAGCCATTGCCACACCACAGCTCTTTGACCTTCATGAGCTTCAGAGGCTCAGCACCGGAGGACAGAGGACTGTGTGGCGAGAGAGTAAAGAGCTGACAGGAAAAAAGTGATGGCATATCCCATGGTTTGTTTCTGGGTTTCTTCTCAGGCCGATTCCAAACCTCCAAAAGAAGTTCAATACACAACAGGCTTGCACGTGCACACAGCTGTTTATATCCTGTGCCTAGATCTCTGGCTCGAGTAGGTGTCTGCCTCACCATGGGCAAGGCCTTGGAGAGGACATACACAGCTTATCCCAACAGTCATAAATAACCCTGCAGTACAGGCAGAACTGGTGTTGGCCTATGAGCTGTCCACTGCTACCGCTGTGGGCCCAGGCCTGCCTCATAGCCCTCCGTCTTCATGTCATTGAGCCCAAGTTCTTCATTTTGGTCAAAGGTGCGCTTGTACCGCTGCACCTTCATCTCCGGATCATCTTCAGGGGCATACACGTTCTGCAAGGCCAAGGGCAGACAATCAGTGCCTGTGCCATCACACCATTCCCCTCCCACAGGTACTGGTGACTCCCACTTTCCTAAGTACTCCATGAGTTTTGTAGGGCCTTCAGCCCCATGGCTGCACAGTCCACCTAAATCTGTGAGGGAAGTGGGGCAGTGCTGGTATCAAATCCAAGACCCTGTGCATGATATGCAAAGTGCTCTATTAGTAAGCATCCCCAGCCCCGAATTTTTATATCTAGACCCTCTTCATAAAAAAAAAAAAAAGTAGCCAAAGCTTAGAATGGTGGTGCATGCATAATAATCCCAAGCTACACACAAAATCCTGTCTCAAAAAAATAAAAAAATGGGAGGAAAAGCAAATAGCAATGGTCATAGTCATAGTTATAAATAACTTAGACCAGTCTTGCCTGACCCATTAGTACTCATTAATGTTATAGTAGAGCTAAGACCCTGGGTTCCAACTTAACACCAGAGAACAGCAAAAACTGCTAAAGCTGTATCATCAGCAGTCTGTTTGCCAGTCAGCTAACACCTCTCAGCTTTCCTATCTCAGTCTCTGGCAGGGTACCACTGCTCCTCATCCCACAGTCAGATCTGGAGAATGGAACCTCCAGGCCTAGACAGACCATAGGACAAAAAGATTTTCTCTTCTCATTGTTGCAATACTGGGGATTGAATCTAGGGCTTTGCGAGTGCTAAGTAAGCATCTATTCTCAACCCTCTTTTATCACATTTTTTTATTTTGAGACAAGGGGTTCAATAAGTTGCCCAGGCTGGATGGCTTGGAACTCACTATGTAGACCACGATGGCCTTGAGCTCATCTACCACACCAGCAGGTCTGGCCTGCTTTCCTTTCTTTCCACACACTTAAAACCTCTCCCACCTTCCCCATTCTCTTATCCTCCAAGTCCTGCTAGAAGTCCCCTGCAGAAGCAGTCCCTCAGGTTCAATGACGATCATAAAGAACATCTCCATAGAACATTCAAGGTCTATTATACCTGTAAATAACTGTTTCCTGCTGGATCATTCATAATAAAGTGGGCCTTCATTTTCCCATCAATGATCTACAAGAGAGAGGATACAGCAGGTAAACTCTACACAGCCCTGGAAAGGAAGGGGCTATGACCATCAGACAAGAATCAATACTATTTGTATGGTGTATGTGCTGAAGAGCTTTTAGTTGTCAACTTGACACACCTGGGTTGAGGAAACCTCAACTGGGGGATTACCTCCACTGACTGGCCTTTGGACATGTCTGTGGGGTAGTTTCTTGATTGTTGAGTGATATGGGAGGGCCCACTGTGGGTGGTGCCACCCCTAGGCAGGTTGTCCTATGTTGTATAAGAAAGCAGGCTGAGCACAGACCAAAGGAGCAAGCCAATAAGCATCATTCCTCCATGGCCTGCGCTTCAGCTCCTGCCTCCAGGTTCCTGCCCTGAGTTCCTACCTTGGCCTCCCTCGGTGATATACTGTGACCTAGGGAAATGTAAAGCCAAATAAACCCTTTCCTTCCCAAGACAGTTTTGGTCACAGTTTTTTGTCACAGCAATTGAAAGCAAACTAGAACACTGCAATTCCCAAAAGTTTGAAGAACTGGTGAATTAGCAGTCTGGAAGAAGCCCACGTCCTCTTACCTGATCCAACTTCTGGCTAAACTCCTGCAGTTTCTTGGACTGGTTAGGACTGGAACTGTCACCCAGTGTGAATGGATTCTTGGTTACCTGCAGCACGTGACAACCAAAGTGCAACCACACTAACTTTATGGTTATTAGGCCTGACCACAAATCAGGTAAGGGTGGCAGTGGGTGCCCTGTCAGAGAAGCCTGGTCTCCATTTTCCACATTGCCTTGATGACATAGGAAGGGGGGGGGGGGACAACACAAGGAGTGAGAGGTGGGGGCCTGTCAATCTGCTAACAAGGCAAACTGGAAAACGTAAAATTAAATCTAGAAAGTGTTCTTACAATATCTAATCCCAATTTGGAGAAGAAATGAAAAGACAAAGTACAATTTACAAAGGGAAGCCAGGCACGATTTCACATGAGCCTCCAACTCCAGCACTTAGGAGGCTGAGGCAGGAAGAGCATGAATTCAAGGCCAGACTCAGCCCCAGCTGGCCTGGAACTCACTATGTAGAATAGGCTGGCCTTGAACTCACAGAGATCTGCCTGCCTCTGCCTCCTGAGTGCTGGGAATAAAGGCACGTGCCCCGCCATGTGCCCGGGACAAGACTGCCTCTCAAAAACAGAAAATATAATAATAGTAATAATAAATACAATACAAAAATAAAAACGCCTGACATACATACAGATTAGAGATGCATGCACCAATATCTAAGTGTCATTAACAAAAACAATGAGTCTTTCTGTAAGAAACAGTATATTTTAAAATGAAATGGAGATCTTTTTTAAAGGTTAAAAACTCATTCAATTTTATGTCTTACAGGGTTTATACTGCGTTCAATATTGTATAACTGTATTAATTCAACTGTGAACCTAAAATTTTTATAGCCACTTTTGAAACGATGTATCTTTGCTCTGGAAATTGTTATTGAGTATGTTAAAGTTGTAATGAAATGCTTCTTCTAAAAAAATAAAAATAAAAAAAATGCCTGACAACGAAGTATCAATTGAGGATAAAATATATCATTATCCATATGCTCCCACAGGGGGTTGGTTCCAAAATTCCGAACACCAAAAGCAGTAGACGCTCAATCCCTTATAAAGAGTAGTATTTGTATAGAATCTATGCACATTCTCCTATATATCTTAAATCACCTCTGGATTATTTACAGGACCCAATAAAAAGTAAATGCTATGTAAAGTTATTATGCTCTACTGTTTAGGGAAATGACAAGAAAAAAAGTCTATACATATTCATTACAGGTATAACTTTTCCCCAATTTTTCGATCTGTGGTTAGACTGACTATGTAGGCTCACATGCATATGCGAGAGCAGGTATGTTACAGCTTAGATACTAAAAGACCCTCATCCCCTCTTTTGCAATGACATAATAACTTACCCAAGGTCATAAAATATCTACACTGTCCCAGACTTAACCTTGGGAAATTTCATTCAAAATGTCCCATGAACTTCTGTTCAATCACTTACATCTCTTGAACCAGCTTTAAGAAATAGAAACCTCCAGTTATCAGCAACCAAAAAGGATTATTTTGGAGGAAGGATTTGAGATGGATCCCAGGTTGGCCTCAAATTCTCAACCCTCTTGCCTGAGCATCCCTGGTGCTGGGATTACAGGCACGTGTCATAATACTAGGATGCCTGAGGTCTTCCAACCCCTTTCCCCAGACAAATTGCCAGAAGTTGGGGACTCACCAATTCTCGGATGTCTTTCAGCAGCCCCTCCAGAGTGGTGAACTTGCCCCCGAGGACAGCCATTCCCAGTTCAAACTCCAGCTCTGGGATTTCCACACTACAAGTTTCAGACTGTAAGATAAGAGGTCAAATTAAGGGCTAAATCAGGAATGGCAGCATAGCTTTGTAGAAGAGCATTTGTCTAGCATTCAAGAGGCCTCAGGTTCAATCCAAAGCATGAGACAGACACACACTGACTTAAATCAGGGGTAAAGAAAGCCAACCAGAAGCCACCTAACAAATACCACAAGTGACTGTGTGAGGATAAACTCAAGTCCTAGTTTTCTGACTCCCCAGGTAAAAGCCAGGGACCACTTCCAACCATCTGAACCAAGATGAAACGCACATGATAAACTGAAACTCTGAGTCAGAGTTACAAGCTGTCAGGTACTTTACCCTGTCATTAGGGTCAGAGAAGAAAGCCCATATAGATAACAGAAGTTAAAAGCAGCCACCTTAGGGGCTGGAGAGCCTGCTCAGCAGTTAAAAGCATGTACTGCTCTTCCAGAGGACCTGAGTTCTATTCCCAGTACCCACAACAGGTGGCTAACAACCACCTGTAATTCCAGTTCCTGACACCTCTGGGCTCTGTGGACTCCAGTACTCATGTGTTCACACACTCACACACAATTAAAAATAAAATAAGTCCTTAAAAAAAAAAAAAAATGGCCAAGTCATTGCTCAGAAAAACATTATGGACCTCCTTCTGCACCTAGAGCGTTAACCATGGTGTAACCCTACTGGGGGGTGGGGGTGGGGAGTGCGTGCGTGCGTGTAAAGGAATAGACTCCGTTTATGAATTGGCAATTCCCCCAACAGAGAAGCAGCTGTATGAGGGCAGTTCCTTTCCCAAGCAGGCTATTACCTTAAGGAGGTCCCTGGTCATGTCTGATGGGTCTGTGATGTGGAGGGTGATCCTGGTGCCCAAGGGCTCTACTGCTCCTCCAGATTTCACCTGCAGAGTAGATAGTCAGGAACAGCCACCCGAGAAGACCCCAAGCCTCACTGGGAACCAGAGAGACCTCGACTTTATGCAGGGCTTCCGCTATCAACTCCCAGTGACAGCCTTCCAAACAAGAAAGGAGCAGCAGTGACTGGAACCACTGACCAAGAGTTGACAAGGAATGCTGTACCCAGCCTCAACAGCACACCAAAATTTAGCCCAAATTGCTAAGAAACACTGAATTGACCTTTTAAGAGAAATCTGACTACTGGAGGTTGAAAGAGATTTTTAAGCATTCCAGTCCTCTACCCACTACACCCAATGTAATATTTATACTTAAAATTATAATCAGAGGCTGGGATACACCTCAGTAACAGAGCATTTGTCTGTATTCATGGGGCCCTGTATTTGCTGCCCACCACCACAAAAAAGTAAGTTCAATCAGCTTAAGCTTAATACACTTGGGCAAGGAGGATTTATAATACCCCAAGGAAGCCAAATCAATTTTCAGACAGCTCTCTTAAGTTCTTTGCTATGCCTCTCTATCTTCTAACCCTGAGAAGCAGGTCAAAAATCTCTTCCATATGGCCAACCTTTTGTCCCTCTTACAAACTCTGTTATTTCCAACTTTTCCTTTTTAGGATAATTCCCAGCTCCTTCAAGGGCTCCTCGGCCTGTATCAAGCCTCAAAAAGACCCAATTACCCATACTCCCACCCTGAAACAGATCTAGGAAGAAGAAAAGTTACCAAAAGATTGGCCTTAGGTCACTCTACACCCCCAGCAATGGCGCCCACCCACCTCATTGGTCCGATGCCCACAGTTCTCGCAGTTGGTGGCCATGATGATAACCTCTTTAAAGTGGGGGATTTCTGGAAGGTGGAGTTAAAGAAATCTGCTTCCTGGAGAGCAAGATCCCTTCCCTCCTCTGAGGAAAAGCAAAACTAAATCACACATGAACATGCTGCCCAGGACTGCAGTAAACACATCATGATGCAGACTAATATCAAGTCTTCCAAAAGTAGGCAAAGTCCATGTCCATGTGACCCCAGTTCACAAAGTTTTGGGTTTTTTTTTTTTTTTTTGGCTTTGTTTGTTTGTTTTTCTGAGACAGGATCTAACTATGTGGCCCCAGAACTCATTACAGAGACCAGGCTGACCTCAAATTCATAGATATACACCTGCCTCTGCCTCCAGACTGCTGGGACTAATGGCATATGCATTATCTAGCAACAAACTTTTGAAAACATGGCTTAGGCCTCACACAGAAGCCAAGGTACACAGTCTAATCAAAGGCAACATCCTCCTCATCACTGAAGATAAAACATCTGCTTTCCCTGAAGGGAAGAATCCCAGCCCGAATATAATGTTCATGCCTGAGTCAGATGAAGGGCAACCCAACTGCTTGACGAAAGATACGGACTAGCTTCATGTTGGTCTGAGCCGGGGCATTGCACTCAGGGCAGTTTGTGTTGAACTGGAGCACCTAGAACACAATGTGGGGACAATGAATGGCCCTCCCATGCATTCAAGCTGAAGACGTTCAGTTGGGATGCTGGTGGTCACCCATGTTTGTTGTGGCAAAGAGAGATACTAAATACCACCAGTCTCAAACCCATATCTCTGCTCTCTCTTCAAAAGAAGCCAACACAACTCACTTCATTTCTGAGATCTTCCTCTTCCAGCTTCTCTTCTGGTGCTTCTGCCTAAAAGAAACTACAAGTTGGCAGGTAGGCTTCAGCCTCCCCAATCCCAACCTGCGCCAAAGAGGGAGAAACTACCTTTGGTCCCTTCTATCTGATGCCAACTCATGGGATAGAGAAGTCAGAAAGCAATTCCCCAATCAAGGGAAGAACAAGGCTCATGACAGGTTCCCAGTGACTCCATTGTCTGTGAAGTTCACCCCAAGTCCCCACATGAGCTCAATGAGAGGCACAAACATGCTGAGAGAGAGAGCGTACTGAGTGGTGTCGGCGGCAGCAGCAGCAAAGTAAAATGTTAGTGACCACCAGCAATCCAGATGGCTCCTTCAGTTCACTTACCTGGAGCCCCAGCATCTCGGCCTGCTGTAGGGTTCGGTTGTAATGTGTGATCACCAAGGCATCATCTTTCTGGGGAGCATGTGGGTTTTCTACAAAGCTATTTCCGGAGGGATCATCAATGATCTAACAGATGAGTGACGAGAGTGAAACAAACTATACACAACCTTCTACCATCAGACCACTGTGCAAAAATCCTAGTCAGCTTTTTTCTGATTATTTTGATTTTGAGACAGGGTCTCAGGTAGCCTAGCCTGAACTTCCTACACAGTCAAAGATGACCTGGAACTCTTGATCCTCTTGCCCCCACCTCAAACGTTCTGGGTTTATAGGCATCAGTCAGTCTCAATGGTCTCTACCCGCCCTTCTTACATCAAAAGCAACCTCTCTCTCAATACTTACCAGGGTGAAAGAAGAAGGCACTCGCTTAAGCTCCTTCAGTTTGCCAATGAACTCATCAATTCTTTCAGCTGTGGCATCTTCAACTGCCTACCATGAACAGAGTCAAAGCATCACCTCTGGAATCACATCTCATGCCCCAACCCAGTCATGCCTACATCAGTTCTACCAGCAGACCGACATCTGTTTTAGTGGGAATGGAAACACAGGGACTCACATTTCACAATGAGATGCAGCAAGCAAGTCTGAAGCTTATGAGTGGTGCCAGGGAGGAGGCAGGGCTCACGCTCTCACTTATTCTACCCCTTAGCCCAGACACACAAGCCAGGAAGCCAGGTCAAGGATATAATAAATAAAATCTTCTGATAGGGCTCTCTAGCCAGTTAGGGAAGACAAATGACTATGTATGCAATTACATTATTTCTATAATAATAAGATACAACAGAATACCCAGGAAGCTGTAGAAAACCCAAAGTTTCTTCCAAAATAATGTTACATTGTCTGAAGTGAGGTCTAAGCATATACTGGGGGAGTGACACAGTTAAAATAGAAATAGCACCCTCATAGATGCTTTGCAAAAAAGTTCCCCAACATTTAGTCAGACACAGTTCAGTTATGTAGAAAGCTGACTTGATTCTGACACAAACAAGCAATGATTCCCTCAGCTGCTGCAACTAGAAAAGCCCCACTCACCCTTCTAGTGGGCTGGTCCTGCTCCAGGCCAGAGATTGCACGGTTGATCAATCCTTCAACAGTGGTCAGAGCTTGCAAATGAAACGTAAGTGAATCTTGCTTGCTATCAAAGGTCTGGATTACTCTAGGCAATTCACCTGAACTCTCTAGACCTTGATTTCCTCATCTATACAACTAGTAGAGGACAGCACAAGGGTAATGTGCTGTCATCTCCAACAAGAGTAATGGCAAAATTCTAAAGCAAGCACACCCTGGTCTTAATAGCACTTTCCACCTACTTGTATCTGTAGCTGTTTTGCCTTAACTCGTGATAAACCACTATAATTATATGGCCAAATACAAGCCTGGTATTAAGTTTTGCTAAGAAAACAGGTAACATTTTAGCAAAGTGTGAACAGCTCAAATGCCCTCATCTTACACTCACCTCCCTTCTGGCTGAAAGCTGGAATTTCAAAATCCAGCTCTGGGATCTTTGTGGTTGCAGAGTCAGTCTTGACCACTTCTCTGTTCATGTCCTGAGCAGAAAGGAAAACGTTTTATCCAAAGAGTTCAGCAACACAGCTTCTCCTGTGGGAAACAGCCAGACTGTCCTCCTCTAACTAGATTCCAGCCCAGCTGTTTCTCCCTCCCTCCACTCCAGAAGGGTCCAGACTATTTCAGAATAGTGCAGATGGTGTGAGCCAGACTGGCTGGGGGGGGGGGGTACGGACCCACGACGACACACAATCTATAATCTCCTGTTCATTCCAACCCACTTACAAAATTCACAAGGCGCTGTCACCAATCTTATCTCATGTGAACAGCGGGCAGCACCAACACCATTTCCAAAGGAGGGCATTAAGGCTTGGCCACAGAGATTTTTAATGGAGATCCGAAGGCCTGGACCACAGCTGACTCCAGCCCCCAACGCTCTTTCTGGGGTCTTGCGGGGGATCTTCTCTGGGCTCCGCTCACCTCCTGGGCCCTGACGGTCAAAGTGTAGCGTACTCCCTGGTCCTGGATCTTGCCTGCCGACTGGATCTCCGTGTTGCTCCAGCCACAGTGCTCGCAAGAAAAAGAGCTCACTATTATTTCTCTAAAGAAAGGGATCTTGGTGAGCAGGAGGCGCGTGGTGCCCTGGGGGAGCAGAAAGCAGCGAAAGACTCAGTGAAACTCTTTTTTCCTAGCTCCACTCCCGGGGCTGATGGTCCGCCCAGCCCAGCCCCAGCCCGACCCTCCCGCCGCCCGCCAACCGGCCTCACGTTGCGGTAACAGTTCATGCACAGTGACTCGATCTCGGTGGGCTGTTGCTCCTCGTCCTCGGCGCTGATGGGCCGGAACAAGGGCCCCGCGGTGGACGGCGGGGCCTCGGCGGGCGACGAGGCTACGGCAGCCCCGGGGGGCCCCGGCTCCACAGCCCCGCTAGCAGACATCGCCCCACATGCAGCTCAGGCCGCAGCTTCCGGCTTCCGTTGCTCTCCCGACCTCACTTCCGCCAGCTGAGGATTCCCGCCCCTTCTTAAAGAGGCCTCAGACTCCCGGCCTGCAAGTACAGTCTCTGACCGAGACTTCCGGCTTTTGGGTTTCCTGAACCCGCCAGAGGCACCGCATCTCAGACCCAAAGCCGTGTTTTGCTTCTGCCGTGCGGCTCAGACCCAAAGCAGTGTTTTGCTTCTGCTGTGCACAGGGAGCTGGACTGTCGGTCCTGAAGTCTGTCTGGTTTGTCCCTGGGAATCCCTGGGGAAAAACCGGACTTGCTTCCTATTGCCGAGCCAGACCCTGCTTGGCCTCTAGATCCCCTCTTGTTGGCACAGCTACCACACACACATTCCCCCGCTCCCTCTCTCCTTTTCTGTTCCTCCAGCTTCCTATTTCTGCACTTATAAGCCCCTCCCCAAATTCTAGCCTCAAATACACAATCCTTATTTTCACACCCACCATGTCCAACCCCAGCTGACTCATTTCTCCCATTTTCCTAATGGCAAAAGCGCTTTTATTTTATATTTTCCTGCTAGTGCTTTCTCTCCATATCTTAGACCACAGCCCAATTCTGGGGCTGAAAGTGGCCACACCATAAGGTCAGAGATGACATTGTGAGCATATGGCACCCAGCTTCATAGTGGGTCTGTGCCATGGATGGGGAGGTGTCAGGAATCCTGTGCAGAGCCTTTCAGGGCAGGCTAAGCTGGGAAGAAAGGGTGCTGGGCAGAGCAGGGCAGTCTTAAGGAAAGAAGCATCTGTCCTTCCCTTTTCCCCCCACCTCATATCCTGTTTTACATTTCCCAGCTGATCTATGATGTCTCTGAGTGAGTATGTATAGAGAGTAGGAGAATTAAGAGTTTGTGGGTCCCAAGAGGAGAGTCAGTCACAAAAAGAAGCCACTGGGAATATGGACTATTAGGAAGAAAGGGGATAGGACACCTCAGGAATTTGAGGTCTACCAGGCCACAGCTGCTCCTGTTACAGCCTGACCTGTACACACTGACCTGTGGTAAGTAGACTGTTCAACAATGCAGGTGCAGAGCTACTCTGTCAGCCAGTCTACCTGCTCCCCAAATGTTGTCTAACCAGGAGTCCTGAAGCAGAACTAAGCCAGAGTTGGCCCCTCTAACAGACTAGGAATGGAAAGGGACCAATAAGAAAGAGCATACAAGCCTGGCATGGTGGCACAGGCCTTTAATCTCAGCACTCAGGAGGCAGAGACAGGTGGATCTCTGTGAGTTTGAGGCCAGCCTGGTCTACATAGTGAGTTCCAGGCCAGCTAGGACTACAAGGAGACCCTGTCTTGAAAAGACTTTAAAAAAAGAAAAGAAAAGAAAAGAGCATGCAAGGAAGGGGTTAGAGTCCATGATTGTTGTGCTTTGGGGACAGTGGTGAAGCAACAGCTCTCACATGGTCCAATGAGAGCCACACCACGCCAACAAGATTCCATCATGAGCATCTATTTCATTTCAGCCAGAAGTCTGGGAGTCAGAAGGTGGTGCCTGAAGGTGGGGAGGGCTCATGTTATGCTCCCCACAGATTTAAGAAGCCCCAGCAGTGTGAGGGCTCAATCCTTTATTTGGGCACAGAGTTAAGAATAGCTTCACCCCATCACTGATCCTCCACTCACACCCACCAGCATCACAGCCAGCAGGGATATACACACACCATCATATGCTCTCGCCATCATCTCCTTCTGCTCTCCTCCCCTAACAGGAGCTGTCATGGCAGCTCTGGGCAGCCTCTCTGTGGAACAGCTGTAATGGTGACCATCAAGAAGCCAGAAGTAACAGAAGCCGAACTCCAGGATGTAGTGGCATAGGCTTCCAGCACTGTGGCCTACAGACTTTCAGACAGTCTCTCACATAATCTCCCCACTCCCTCCACCCCTGAATGTTGTAACTCCTGGGGGTTCCCAAATGAGCACTGGAAGCTGGGTTTGCAGAGCCTGGTGAGTGTAATGCATCTGGGTGGGGAATCGGCAGGCTGGATAGGCTGGGACAGCAGCCCCTTTGGTGACCTCACCTGTCCAGTGCAGGACCCTCTGCCCTCCACCCAGTAGGCCATGCTAGAGGTCAGGGTCCAGAGTTGCCCAGACAATGAGCTGGGAATGAACCTGAGCAAGTGGACCTTCAGGGCTCCCTTAGATGACTATGGCCCTGGTCATGAAGGCTATAGGCGATGTCTTCCCACAGGTCGTCCAGTCGGGACTGCAGTTTGCTCAGGGCCTTGTCACTGTCCGGGTGTCTGAACTCTGGGGCGAAGGCGCTGTGGCCTGGCGGTGGTGGCGCCAGCTGCTGCTGGACCTCCTCTGTCTCCTGGTCAATGGCATGAGTGAAGGCAGCGATCTGCAGGTAGGTGTCGTGGCGGAAAGCCTGGAGTCTCTGGCGTACCTCCTCAGAGAGCACCTGGGGGTCTGGGGAAGTCCCCTCCTGGGCTCCATCTGCGCTGGCGCGGACAAAGGCACTGAGCTCTTCGCGCAGCTGGTTCAGGTTCTGCTGGATGCTGGTGTGCAGGGCCTGAGCCTTGAGCGTGAGTTTGTGCGAGAGCGTCTGCACACAGCGGCTGAGACGTGCGGGGCTGGCGGCTGCGTGGGGAGCCACACTACGGTGCAGCTCCTGCACGTGGTGCCCGATGCCAGTCACCAGGCGCTCAGCATAGGGGTGGAAGAGCTCTTTCACACGACCTGTGTGATGCAGCACGCGACTCTGCATTTCCTGCAGCAGGCTCAGCGCCTCGTCCACGCCCCCCAGCAGCTGGGCCTTGGTGTCTTCTCCCACCACGCGCAGTTGTTCCTGCAGCTCCTGCACACGCAGGCCCACCTGCTCCATCAGCTCCATGGTGTAGGGCTTCAGCTTCCTCCGTAAGCCCTCCAAGTTCCAGCCCAGGAGCTCGTGCTCCGCAGCCATGTAGGGCTCCAGACGCGCCCTCACCTCCTCCAACTCCTCCTGCAGCTGCTGCCTCATGGCCACCGGATCCCTCGCCAGCAGAGAAGGCTCCTTCCCTGGCCCACTCAGCGGCCCCAGCTTTTCTAGGAATTTGTTCATGTTGCTAAGGTCTTGCTCAAAGCTATCTTTCAGGCTCCTGGAGAAGGGGATAGACAACCATGTCGGGCAGCTAGTCCTGGTATTTCCTTTGCCCCAAAGCCCTGAGGCATTGATCTTCCCTAGAAACCAAGGACAGGGGCACTAGCCCCAGAGCCAGGGTCTTTAATCTCCATCAACTACAACTTTTTCACATTCGGGTGCACAAACATCAAATAGTTTAGGAAATTAGACATACAACCATGTGCCAAGATTCACACAACCCTGTCATGATAGGACCTCCTGCTAAACTCGGTACACTCCTCAGTGCAGGGCAGGGGAGCCTTGGGCAGAGAGGGCCCAAGAGTGCAAGACGGCTGGGGTATGCTTGCATTGCAAGCAGGGCTGGGTCCTTCCGCCTCCTTGTGGACCACTGAGCAGAGAAATCAGGCAGAGCATCATCCACCAACCCCGCTGTCTCATCTTCCTCCCCCGCACCCCTTACGCCATCCACTCACTCCCGAGCCAGTTTCTGCTGCTGGCCCATCATGCCTTTGTCCCCGCTGCTCTGGCTGAAGTAGTCCCAGAAGCCTTTCCGTGCCTGGGTGTCAGCAAACACTGCAGAGAGGGATGGGGACAATTAGGACCTTTCTCCTTCATGGGGGTGGGGGTGGGGGGTGAGGGGGCAGACCCCTCAGTCCAGAATCCGTTCCAGCTGGACACAGAAGTCAGGTGGAAAACCCACCTGAGAGGAGGGCCAGGGCCCAGGTGATGGCTGCAGCCATGCTTGCCTGTGATGTGCTCTGAGAAGGAAGGCAGATGGAGGCTTGGTCAGGAGGAGAAGGAAAGGGATTGGATCTAGAAAATCTGCTCTAGGGGCCACCTGCCCCAAATCCTCATAACCCTTCTTCTCTGTGTGGGTAGCTCATAGCTGCTGAAGGCTGCAGAGAACTGAGCTAGGTTCATCAGGGAGGCGTAGAGGAAAGGGATGTATTCCTGAGACACTGGGATAGGGGTGTTCCTTGCCCATCTTAAGTTATAAAGTAGGGAGTTTGGCAGTCCAACTGCATTACAGAGATTACCCCCTCCACATTCCTTCCCATTCGGGAGACCCCAAAGTACCAACCTAACTCCCTTGTTTGCCAGTCTTCCTGCCCCCCCCATTTTATGACTGGGAAACTGAGGCATAGCCAACGGGAGGGGGAGGGACTCCATCAGCCCACACCAGCAGCAATCTCCACCCCTGCAACCCCCATCCCCACCCCTCTAGACTCAGACCTACATTCCTCTGCCCCTCAGCTCACCTGCTTAGTTCTGGGCACAGAGAGTACACATTTGATTTTATACTCTAGGGGCCTGGGACTCTGACAACAATTGCTCTGAGCAAATACCACGTGGAAGTTCAAAGAAGGGTGACCTCAGCTGCCTCCTAGCACTCACCTCTTGTCCTTCTCCTGGCATTCTGAGGGTTAATAAGCTCCCCAGTCTCAGGGGGCAGCCTGGGTAGTGCTTCCTGGAGCCTTTACTAGGAATGTGCTGAACTAATTTCCCAAATCCAGTGACCTTCAACCTTCCCATTTATTTGCTGGCTGGCCCACCAATAGACACTACTTGTTTATCTACTGAGGGCACTGCTCTTACTCAACTCCCCAGGGCACTCTGCCCCAGCCAGCCAGAGGAATAGTGTTGAGGGCTGGCCAGAGCCTGGGCAGGCTTTACCTGCTCCACCACAGCCACTGTGGCAGCCTGGGAAGAGCCAGCATTTATAGGGTTACAGACCCCTATCTCCTTTGTGAAATAATCCTGGATCAAGCAGGAAAAACCAAGCAGGGTGAAGATGGGCGGTAAGCTGTGTCTGGGCTAGGGACTACTCTCCCTACAGGGAAAGACTGTACTCTACCCCCCACCCCACCCCCAGGCTTCTGGGGCAGGGAATCTCTGAAGCCCAGATCCTTTTCTGATGCCAAGCTCCCTCCATATACTTGCACACACATTTCTTTGCTCTTGCATATACCTTGACTGGGTCTCCTTGCCTCCATTCCCACCACTGTCATCGCCCCAGTTGCTTCTCTCCTTGATTGCACTTATAATCTCTTTTAGTCTTTCTGCAGTAGTCCTGCTCCATCCATCCATTCATCCATCCATCCATCCATCCATCCATCCTCTACTGCAGTTCAGCTCAGCCATGTCTCATCTCACTTCTGAATAAAACTTTGGCCATTCCCTGAGCAGGCCTCCTCTCAGGCCCTGTACCTTTCTGAATGGTACTCCTGTTTGAAGCAACCCTCCTGCTTTCTTCAGACTCAGTTTGTATTCATTCAGCTACAAATGGAATGGAGAAGGGATGAGAGAAGAGCAGAGGCAGAAGGAGAATAATTTAAATGAAATGCAATTTATCAAGCCGGGCGTGGGGTGTCTTGCAGCCTCTGCTACCACAGGAAGAAAAGATTTGGAGTGTAGAGGTTAATGGTGCCACACAGAGGTATAGGGTGCTGCCCACATTCAGAGCAACTCTCCCTACCTGGCTAATCTCTGGAAAGGGCTGCTCACATGCTCAGAAGTATACTTCACCAGTCTCCCAAGCATGGCTTACTCCAATCAAGTTGACATTAAGGTTACCCATCACAACTGTACACTTTAAATTGGCTTGAGCTTGGTATGGTAGCATGCACCTATATATAATCACAGTTATTTGGGGGGCTGAGGCAGAAAGATCACTTGAGCTAAGAATTTGAGGCTATCCTGGGCAACTCTGAAAGGTTCTTCCTTTCGAAGAATAAAAATTAAAATGGCAATTATTGTGCTATGTATATTTTATCATGACAAAACTATCTCTAGCCAAGTGTGATGGTGCATCCCTTTAATCCCAGCACCCAGGAAGCAGAGGCAGGCAGATCTTTGTGAGTTCAAGGCCAACCTGGTCTACTTAGAGAGTTCCAGGCCAACTAGGACTACAGAGTAAGATCCTGTCTCAAAAAACTTTTTTTCCTAATATTTTAATGGCTTTTTAAAATGAGAACCCAGACTTAAAGAGACCATGCTATAAATTGTAGCTGCACTAGACTATCTGTTTCCAATCCCCAAGAACCTTCTTGGGTCTTTCCTGGTAGGCAGAAGAGGTGCTTAGAACTACATTCTCCGGAATCACCTTTTCCCGATGGGACCAGTTTAGAATCAGGGAGTGTGAGATGGAGGAAGAGAGGCCATTACTTTTCAATGGCAGCTGCAGACAGCATGGACAGTTGTGGGATTTAAAGCAGATTTTAGTGGGGCATGGTAGCTCTCATCTGTATCTATAGCACTTGGGACGTTGAGGCAGGACTGATGTGAGTTTGAGACCAGCCTAGTCTATATAACAAGCTCAAGACCAGCCTGGACTACTACAGAGTAAAATCCTTATCTTCCCACCCTAAAGGCAAGTTCTAGATGACCTTCTTAAGGATCATGTGCTTTGGTGCTGCAGACAGATAATTAGGAGAGCTTCCTAGATGTAGCTATTCCAGGTGAGCTTTGGGGACTCACACCTTCAGTACCACCAGCTGAGATAATCATTTCTCTAGCCTTTCCAAGTATTATAATTTTTTTTATTTATGTGTGTGTGTGTGCGTGTGTGGGGGGGTCTTGTGATTTTATGTGTGCCATGTGTGTGCAGGTGCCCTCAGAGACCAGAAGAAGGCATCAGATACACTGGAAACAGAGTTATAGGTAGTTGTGAACTGTCCCACATGTGTCCTGGGAACCAAACCTGGGTCTTCTGCAAGAGCAGCACGTGTGCTTAATGGCTGAGCCATTGCTTCAGCAACCCCCCCCATGTTATACAGCTTTTATCCTATGCATTAAAGTTTCTTGTACTTGAAACATATGGAGTAGCTTGGTTTTCTGACTGAACCTAGAGGAATGCAACAATTAAATGCAAAGCAAGTCTTGTTTCCTTGTTTCTTAGTGTCTCATGGTTTCAGGGTTCAACATGCTTGAATGTGTGTGTGTGTGTGTGTGTGTGTGTGTGTGTGTGTGTATTCGCATTTGATGCTATGTGTATATGCAATCGGTTTTTATAACTAAAAATTGTCAAATATTAGCAATTTTATATAGTTCTAACAAGATACGTTCACATATGATTTAATATATCTAGTTCATAACAGTACTCCTAGTGCAGGGGATCAGTAACTTGGTAAGATTGCAAAAAATATACATATTGATGATGGAACGACTTTGAAAGAGGAATTAAAAACAATAGGGAACCAAAATGTTAGACAGAAGTAACATGGAAAATGGGAAAGGACAGATCAAAGTTAAAGCATTCTCCTGCTTTCGCATTATCCAGGGAGAAGATAGGAATACTGACCATCTTTAGACTTTGTTAGGTCAAGCAGCAATATTAAAGTTTTAAGGAGAATCCATTAAAAGAGTAGAAAGAAAGGATAACTTTCAAACTAGTATATGGGAAGAAGAGTAAAGAACATTGAACTGACCTTTGGTAAAGGATGACGGATTGATCGCATGCATTAGCCCAGGCTATTTCCTGAAAGTTCAGTAAAATGGCATTAAAGTGCACATCTTAAAAAATGCACAAATCCATGATGCAGATAAAAAGGAGATAAAGCAACAATATTTTGAAAACTGGAAAACTTCCCGACAGTCAAACAGTTGTTACTGGGCACATCTAAAATGAATTTCAAAAAGCAGCAATCCAGATTGCTGAGAAATCCCCGGGTTTACATGTCCAAACATCCCCCAAAACCCAGAGAAAACTTGAGACTTGTTCTCCAAAAAGGGGAAAAGAGTGATGTCTTACTTTTGGAAGACAAAGTGCTACAGGAGGCCAGATTCTTGTACACCAAAGGAAATGTTTACGTATTAAAATTGGATGGCTGGGGTGTAGCTCAGTTGGGAAAGTGCTTGCCTAGCATGCATGAAGCCTTGGGTTCAATCCCTAAAAGGGTATAAACCAGGCATGGTGGCATATGCCTGTAATCCCAGCACTGAGAAGGAAGAAGCAGGAAGACCAGAGGTTCTAAGTTATCCTCAGTTACATAGAAAGTTCAAGTACAGCCTGGAATACATGAGACTCTGTCTCTAAATTAAATTAAATCAAAATTGGAACCTCCTCTCCATACAGTGTCTTTCTCCTCAACAAAAATGCCAACCAGCTGGAAGTAATGTTCCAGAAAAGAGCTCAATAGAGAACATTCTCCTGGAGAAACTTGACTAGCAAGAAAACAGACCTAATGAAAAAGTCACGGAATGACCAGTGGAGCCACTGCACATCAGCTTCTTTATTTCTTCTGATTTGCCATGAAAATGTAAAAAATAAAAATGCAGAAGCACTGGAAAAAAGTCTAATGATCATTATATTCAGACCCTGTGTTCAGTGATGGTTAAGTACTTTGACATGCTTGTGTTTTCTCCGTGTCTACTTAGTTCTCGCCATAACTTCAGTTTTCATATTGGAAAATAAAAGGGGGCATTATAAGTCCATTATCATGTGTAAGAAAATTCACAGCTCTATAATACCACCAAACATCAGTCTACCCTCAACTTTCTCCATTTGTCTTGTTCATTTGTTTCTTTTTGAGACAGATTTGCCTCTGTAGCCTTGGCTGGCCTAGAACTTAATGTTATTTTTTTTTTATTTTAAAAGTTACATTCATTTATTTACACCCTATGGGTCTTAGAGTCCAAACTTGGGTTGTTAGGCTTGATGACAAGTGCCTTTACCTGTGGAGCTCTCTTGATGGACCTTGAGTGGCAGTTGATTATGATACAATTTAGGGACTGTTCCCACTTTATTTTTTAATGACATTAGCCTTTCAACTGAAGAATATTCCATGTTTTGGGTTTGTCTGTTTCTCTCTTTGTTCTATTGCTGGCCTTCTTTCTTTGTCTTCTATGTTTTCTGTACACTGGAATTCAGGCCTGAGGACTTCACTGTGTTGAGATTATGGTTATTCGCATATTTTTGTTTGATTATATATATTTTTAAATAATTTATTATTTTTATGTGTATGCATGTATTGCTTGCACATAGGTAAGTGCACCCATGTACTGCAATACCTGCGGAGGACAGAAGAGGCTGTCGGATCCCCTCGAACTGGAATTACGGACAATTGTTAGCTGCCATGTGGGTACCTTGATGCAAATCTGGGTCTTCTGCAAGAACAGCCAGTGTTCTTAACTGCTGAGCCATCTCTCCAGTCCCTTGATTATATATTTTTGAGATAGGTCTCACTATATGGCCTAGGCTGGCCTTGAACTCACAGTCCTTCTGCCATAGCCTCTCCAGCGTTGTGCCCCCACCTTCAGCTCAAATCATGTTTAAAGTATTTCTGGGGGCTGGAGAGATGGCTCAGCAGTTAAGAGCATTGACTGCTCTTGCAGAGGACCCAAGTTTGATTCCCAGCAACCACATGGCAACCAACAACCATCTGTAACTCCAGTTCCAGGGAATCTGATGCTCTCTTCTGACCTTTGCAGGCACTGCGCAACACAGATGCACTTACACACATGCAGGCAATATACTCATACATATA